CTCAATGCTTCTTTCGGGGGTTGGGAAACAATAAAAACAATTTTTCCAGGCCTGACCACTCCTTCCCCTTCCGTTAAGGACGAATCATTGTATGAGGTACCATGGTACAAAAGTTCCCGAACGAGTATGCAGAAAAGCAATAGGTTTGAGCCCTGAGTGAGCTCAAAAGTTTTATCCGTGACTCTCTGTGAGGCTTGGTGGGGGTATTTCGTTGGTTCCCATCGATGCCTCGTGTAGTGTGATAACCTGTAAACTCTTGTCAAATTAATCGATGCACAAGTTCGTTTACCCTTGACACGGTTCTACAGGTCTCACCTCGATGAACCTTGTAATTCATCAGGAACCTGCAAAGGAAACTAGCGAACTATCAGAATGCCTCCCACCTCCCTCCGTCCAGCTCAACAGCGCCCCTGAACAACTTTCGGGTCGCGAAACGTGATAAAACGCAGTACTTATCAAAACAAATCAAATATTCAGAGATTGAAAGAAAAATCGACAATCGACGAGAAACGCATCCCACGATATGCGTAGCCACGCGCTCCCCAGTTCTGGGACACATCCAAGTCTCTGAGATCACTTGACCGTGTCTTTGCTGAGTTTTCAAGCCTTTCTCTCCTCTACCCTTTTTTTCTAAGTTTGCCATCTTTAATTTTAGACTTTCTTTAATTTCAACTTTTCTCTCAGTATTTTTCCGCACAATTCAACTAAAAAACCTACTTTCTTTTACCATTCCGACACTGAGGCACTTCTGAAACCGACACGCTTGACATCGGGATCGATACCGTTTCTCGATCGGACAGTTTCGATTGCCGGCACACGCGTATTTGGACGCTTTTTGGACAGTTCTCTGCAAAAATAACTCATTACCTAGGATTTTGTAAAACTCCTGGCTAAAAACATTGGGACCACCATCGCCTTTTTTAAATGTTCTTCCAGTCATTTCGGCAAATCTTACAGGAAATTACAAGGTGCTTGACAGGTGAGAACAAGGCTTACAGGATGTTGACAAGTTTGCTGTATTCACATCTCTACAGTTTACAGGATTTGCTATCCTGACAAGAGCTTACGGGTGTGGCCACCCCAAAATTATTAGCGCCAAGTTCCTTAGGTTACTCAGCAATTTTGGAAATGAAGGACAGTCATGACCAGCTGGCTGGTGCTACATAGCAACTACACCGCCTTTCTCTAACCGTGAATCCGGGCAGGTTATACTGTTGAGGAAAATCGCTAGCCCAGCACACCCCTCCCGCTAACTGTAAAGAATGAGGCCACCCTCCCCAAAGCGACTGAAATATGTTTCCCTGTGGATTCCTCTTCCACGCCATGCGCTGCTAATAATGGCCTACAAGGAAATATATCACACATGTTTAGGCTGTTCCAGATGGTTTCCTTTGAACATTTGGCCCGCTGAATAGACCTTCTCATTGACAGCTCAATAACAAGAGAAGGGCGTTGGTTGTGTCATTACAGGGTAATTAGGCGCTGTTGGGGCAATTTGCTATTCTCTTACTATTTCTCGCTGATTTACACGACTCACCTTTGTCACGATCACATCGATGAAACTGTGTGGAATCCGCATGTAATATGAACGAGGTTGGTGCCATAGACGTTTACAGGTAGTTAAGGGGAACACCAGCGGAGTGTTCCCACAAGCTAACTTTGCGTGGCGGTAATAAGAGGCAAGGCTAGCTGTCAAGTTCGATCTTCTCAATGGCGAATACTAGTCTGGGAAGCAGGGCACATCATTGGTTGGGGATTTTAGTCGAGTCTGTACGACTCCCCCCCCCTTCGGCCTCTCTTCCTCCTCATCGAATGGAGCCGTCGAGCAGGGGGGGAGGGGGGTTATAACGCCGTAAAGCGGGAGAAATCAACGACCATACAGTTTTTCCAGCCCTGAATTACGACCACGCCTCTCTTCCATGAGGCGACCAAATACGACCCCACTGGGGATATCTCAAAACGATGTGCCTGCTGGGAAGTAATCTATCATCACCAAAGAACGATTTGGGCTCCTTTTGGGTTCTGTGACTCTTTTCAGGTCAAAATATTGGCCCTGATTTTCACTTCAGAAGAGGTGAAGCAGATCGGAGAAGTACCACATGCCGTCGATCCGAGCGAAGGCAGCATGGGTCGGGAAACCCACGTTTTGTGGTGTTTTGTGACCACTCGGACCTTTTACATTACAACTTTTTGAGCGTAATGAGACGCTCTTTCATCCCGGTGTCCTCTCTTCCAAAAATAAACTCACTTCCTGGTTCACGACATGGTTGATTTAAACTTTCGGATGTGTTTGGCAGCGAGTGCTTCACTTTACGCCGCGCTCTGCGCGCTACCCCCCCTAAAGGGGGGTTCAATGGTTGTCACAGAAGCGGAAGGCGGAGTGTTACATGTCTCCCACCAACTAACAGAAGCAGTAGTTTTGCGGCGTCGCCGACAAGGGATGTATATGACGCGCGTGGGACGGGCAACTTCAGCAATCAAGAAGTTGCTCTGGTTGGCTTGCGAGGAGCATTTTGAAGTTTCCTCAGTTCTCTCTGCTAGTTCCTGTCAAATTCCTAGCACACCATGGTGAGACCTGTACACTCCTGTCAAGTGTAACTGAAACCCTTGCTATTGCATAGCTTAACGGGTATTTACAGGATTCCACAAGAACATTGACAGTGATCCCATAAGAACTAACAAAATGTCCCCACCAAGCCGAATTGCTCATGGAAACGTTTCCCATAGCGAATACGACCCCGCTTTCCAGCCGAATACCACACCGCCCTTGTATACTGCCCCATGGAAGATGAGCCCTTTTGCCGTAGGTCCCGAAAGAGTTTGAGGTGGCGTGGCTCGCGCTATAACAGCAGTGGATCAACCGGCGGACATGTTCTCGATATTCCAACGCTCTTATCACTCCAGCCTTTAGACTCTACAGTACTCCAGCAGTACCTTGAAGAATCCTTTGCATCCTTCACAAGTCCGAGCGCCGTAGTGAAAACAGACTGCTCGATCGCCACATACTGCGCAAACCTTCTCCGAATCCTCTTCTATCGAGGCTGTCGTAGCCGTGGAAGCCGTTGGGAAGTCAAACGTTTGCGGTAACATGCTAAAGTAGCTAATGATATCGATTATTGTAGAGAATTGAAAAGGACACAACAGTTAGTACTGTACGACAAGTAGGTACGGTCTTGTTCGCTGCGGCTGCTGGGGCGTGTCAGGGCACGGGGCCAGGCCGCTTTTCCACCAACTGTGGTTGCTTGCCAGCTTCCACGAGTGGAGGAGAACGGCTGGCGCTGCGCCAAACCCAACCCCCTGACACGCCCCAGATCCGCAGCAAGACTTTATTGATTGGTTTTGGTCGTTTAAACTATTCTCATCTTTCTTTTGCTTTCGAACTCCTTGTAACTACTAGAAGGATTTTCAACTGAAATGTCCAGATGAGTGTAAAAACGCACAAATCGCCATGCTGTAACTTTGCCCCCTCTGAGTGATGGGCACCTAACCCTGTAACAAGACCACAACAAATGAGGGGATCCCAGCACAGAAAGTGACAAAGATAGTAATAGGAGTGACCTTACCAGTTGCCAAATCGAAACAAGTGATATGCTTGGGGCCGGCGCGATGGCAGCGGCGGTTGCGGGCCATGATGCGGAGACGGCGTGCCAGTATGGCTGCCCGCCGAACTCGAACTGTAAATGAGGATCATACCGTAGGAATCAATCGATTCATTTGTATCATCCTCTTGCTAACTCCTTATATCATTTTATATTTCACTGATTATCCATTTCTATTTTATTTCGTCGGTTTCACAACCGACCACCATCATCACCACGTCCACGGTTGGCGTGACAATCTGAACCGCCCTTCTGCATCAACCGTCCTACCCACCTATGAGGACGTCTGTGAGATCAGATCCCTTCAAGGCTTTATAACCCACCTTGTTGTTCCATGACTTCCACGACGGGAGTCGGTAGCAGCTTGGCTGAAATGCGGTTGTTGGCCGTAGAACAGCGCCGCTTGTGGAGCGAACGGATTTGGCTGTTGGCCAAACGGTCCCGGTTGAGGCGGCATAAAATCGCATTGCAACGGGTTCAACCTAAAAAACACACTCTTATTTGCTTGAATCATGAAAACATGAAAACCTATGAAAACTGCTGTTTAATGCCGCAGTTCGCGTTCCGGAAGTCACCACAAAACGCTAAGTTGCGAGCAAGTCTTGACCTCAGGTTGAACCGAACCCGCATCTCACGCTCAGCATCCTTGTGATAACATATTGTAGGGCTGTTTGGATTGGGAGGGGCATTTCACACTCTCGCTAGTGCCTCCAGCTAGTTCATGTCAATTAACAGGTAAACTCCTGTGGAGCTGCGAAATGGTACAAGGGACCCATTCTGGTTACAAGAACTCACAGGGCCATGATGGAGCGAAGCTCAGCTCAGCGAAGCCTTTACTGGCCAAGACACAGTGGGCCTCCCCCCTACACACTCTGTTGAGTCCATTTGGTGCCTTCCTGCGCTGAATTGCACCTATTCTGTTGCTTCAGACGACCAGTTGGACGCAGATGCGCTGGGCAGATATTTAAAGGACACCGTAATGGAGGTGAGGACTCCCGCCTGAGTCTAGGAAGTGAAAGGAGCTACGCAGTGGGTGAATGAAATCTCTTTTCCCCTCCCTCCTCCCAGCGATCAAGTACGATCCCCTGTTGTGGAATCCCCAACGATGATGTGCCCTGAGTCGAACTGCTCGAAGGGGGAGGGCATGCGAAACGGAAAAACCTTGAAAAGGCAACAGCCTGAGAATGGGAAAAATCTCTCTAGCAGCAAACATGACCCCCCCCCCTCCCCTTCCGTTGTAAAGCGACAGGCAGGTACGATTCCCCTCCCCTTCTTCATCCCCAATGGCAGTGTCCTAAGGATAAGGATAGCGTGGGTGAAACAGAAAAAGTAGCTACACTTAGAATTTTTCCAGGCCATGCGACCCCCGCTGGGGACGAACCCGTTGGAGATTCTCCAAGGTGTCCCGTATCCTACCACGTCTCGTAGCAACCCAAAAAATTTGCAATCAAACAAAAATTACAGAGAGTTAACAGTCATAATCACTAAGAGATTAGCATCTGTTCAGTCGGTGAGCTAGCGGTCACCTCTGTGCGT